GGCTGGCGAACGTTTCGAACGTCCAACGTACGTAAGGCTGCCCGCGCGTTCGTGTCGACCTCACGGACATTTCTTTCATCGGATATTCACTATCCGATCGGAAAACGCATCGAATGTCCAAAACGGGCGGGAGACATTGTTGTTGAGCGCGTTTTCCTCGCACGGCGAATCCGCCCGCACTGAATTCGGCCGGCAGATTTGCCGTACCGTTTACCCCGGCGTATCTCATAGTTAGAAACGACATTAACGTCCGACATCACTTTCCCCCGACTGGACATTTGCCACGTACGACGACTCCGGGCTGTCGAACCGTAATACGTGACGCATTTGTTCAATTGTGACACCGTTTTCGATTTGTCCGGGCGCTTTTTCCGGGCGGCCGATCGCATCACCGGCAATAATAATTTCATATTTACGATGCCGCCTCCAAAGAGCAAGTGCTGCGTGTATTTTAGAAAAGCGGACCAATTAACCATAATAATAATAAAATAATATTATATAATTTGTATTTTATATTGTATTAAAATATTTATTGATTTCGATACCTATTTGTTAATTGGAATTACCTATAATAAACACGCGTTTTGTTTGTATTAAATGATTTTTAATACATTTGAACAGAGTGCAGTCGGAGGTGTGTTTAACACTGCACAGGGAACAGTTGTCCCTGGCGGAAAAATTTAAAAATCGTTCATAGACAGCATTCGTATCTGTGCTTCATAACTACTTTTAGTTGAATGTTTGGAAAAATGTCATATTCTAAAATAAACCGAGATTTTGAATTCTTTCTCAACGCGGAAAGAGAAAATATTAAAATATAAACAAATTTATCAATCATCGATACTTACTCGTATCGGTATTTTAATTCGATTCGATACCGAGTAAAAGTATCGATACTTTTCTTTCGACATCACGTCCATACGCGGCGTGATACACACACGACAATAGCGGCTATGCGTAGACAACGTGTCGTACGGTGTACGGCGACACACGAGTACGGCCGACGGACCGTATGGAAAATTTAAAAACACCGTCGAAAACGCGCGAAACGTCGTCACCGACGCCCGTGCACGGTCACCCCGGAAAAACCCCTCTGTTTTCGGTCCGCGGGACGAAGCGGGCAGCGGACGGAACACCGTTTTACACGCCGAAACCGAGCGCAGCGGTATTTCAGGACGGCCGTGCGGGTACCGCGGCCACGCGCTATTGTAGGGGCGCGCGGAGACCCGCGGTAAACGCCCGGCTAATACCGCGTTATTCGGGGAGACCGCGGCGGAAACCGGGAGCCGAGCCGAGGTCTCTGCAGGGCGGACGACATGCTGCTGAACGGCGCGTTTTTACCGGACAAACCGCCGAGCCGCGATGCACGCGCCGCGGGCGCGGCTGGGCATAGAACGGCGGTCGTACGGCGAACACGCGCGATTGAAAGGAGCATCGCGAACGGACCAATGTATCGAGATACGGCGCGCCGCGGCGGCGGACGCGATAATCCGAAGACGCGCGAACGAGCGACAATGTCAACGGCCGAAACGGTGGAGCGCCGAACAATAACGTGTGAAAAACGCACCCGAATGCGAGTCGGCAGATTGCGCGCGGGCAACAACGCATAGTGGATACTAAGACGAAATGAAAACGTCACGAACGGAGAACACTGTAGACTACTACGCGCGGCGGGTTTCGCGGAGGTCCCTCCGACGACCGCATTACAACGCCGGCCCGGAACGTCGTCGAACCGGACGAGTCCGCCGCGATCGACTTGCTCCGTTCCGTGTACGTTTTTTCATGGACACGTTAAATTGTTACGGAAAAATCTTTAATTGTACGTGCGTTAACGGCGACGCGTGTGATGGCCACCGCGGCTCCCGGAGTCGCGACGAATCTCGAACGGAATATCTTAAAAGCGGTCGGCGATATTCGCGCGCGGTCGGACGGCCGTGCCATAGGCAGTACAGCGCGTGACTTGTGTCGCGAAAACCAAAAAAAATAAATAGATGTTTGATAATCGCAGGTGTACGATAACGGTAGGCGTGTGACAACGGGATGAGTGCGTACAACGGCGGGTGTGTACCGTGTGATAAGAGCGTGTCACGCGCCCCGCGCCGAGTGGACCCGTAGTGATCGTTCTCCGAAAGGTGAACGGGGGCGGCGGACGGGCACGAAACGACGGCCGCAAAGCGAACGTGCAATTGAAACAACACGGAAACGTACCGTCATGGGCCGGCGCCGGCGTATCGTATAACACAGAAACGCGCGGCGAAACGACGAATTCGACTATCGCGAATGGGGGGGGAGGGGGTTCCCGCGTTGGGCCCGTTACAAGTGATACCGTGGGTGTATGATTGGTGTAGGTATGCGATAACAGTTGGTATAGATAAGAGTAAGTCGAGTAAGTAGCTGATAATGTGGAAAAACTATTTGAAGAAGGAGGCCTGGTCAAAATAGGTCCGGTACGTGTAGAAATTATTTGAAAAAAAAAAAGGTTGGTATATGGACCGGCGGAAGAAAATGTTGGTCGTGTGTGAGCAGTCGATAATGGAGAAAAAAAAATATTGTGAAAAAAGGGGGTGGGGGAAAATATACGGTCGATGAAAAGGCTGACAATTCGGGCGGCCGTGTCAAAGTATGGCACCAGCTTACGGTTTGAGCAAGACCGTGGTCGGGCGACCATATTATAGGTAAAGCGCCAGCTTGGGCTTAGGATCAGCTTACTATTAAAGCATGCTCCTGCACAAGACCGTGGATGGGAGACCATGTTATCGGTATATTGTTCATTACTATTTCGCTGTTATTGTAGTGTGTATAAAATATTATAAATTATATTTTACTGTAAGCAGATGTACATTTCATTGAAATAAGTTATGAATGTTCTATTAATGTTTCACTAATAACACAATTGTTTTTATAAAAATGAAAGTCACAGTAGAACTGGCAGAAATTTGAGTATTTAAATAAATATTTTTTAGCATTTCAATTAATACAATATGTACCAGTCTAGTGTGCTATACACCATACATATTTAAATAACAAATTTCCAATTACAAAAAAAAAAAAAAAACCAGTTAGAAAAAGTTAAACAAGTTATAGGTGTAATTAATTATATAAGTATATATATTCATTTAAAATTATGACAAAAAAAACTATATTTTCAATTTTTAATCAACTCTATTATCATCATGGAATTGAGTTTTCAATAGCCTTTTCTTCAAAATATAAAAGTTCTAATTTTGTTTTTAATTTATATTCATTGAATGGATAATTAAAATTAATTAATATTAATACTTAGAAATATTGGCTCCTATAAGGACAAATTTTCTTTCATTTTTTTTTCCGTTGAAAATCTAATAATATGTTATATAATATAATAAATTAGTTTTACACTTGTTCATTTTACCTACTTCTTTAAGCTTGTGTTGGAAGTAAGGAGTTAATTATTTACTGTTAATACTTGATATTCTAATTTGTAAATACAATAAAAATAATAGAATAGAAATATAATAATAATAATTATATATATTAATATACAGTATATTTTAGTGAACAATACGAATATATAACAATAACTGGGTACTAGATACCCCTCCAATAAGTGTGGAATGTGTTTGTAATTGGTGAGATTATACATAAATTATTATTAATAGAGAGATACAACTTGTATTTAAAAGCGTGCTGTCCACCAAGTGGGTTGCCATACGACATTGCATACTAATCAATATACAATGACATAGGACAAATTTTAATTGCACAAAAAAATTCACAATACTATATTTAAGTTATAAATATATATAGTAGATTACATAATAAAAAATATGAATATAATTAAAAATATGAAAAGAATGATAAACAATTATAAGTACAGCATATAACAAATATAACATATTTGTTGTATTTTAATAAGAAAAGAATTAATTGTAATACACATTTAAATTAAAATAATAATTATAGCTAGGGATAGGAAATATTAGCATTTACCTATTTTTTTTTGGTAATACCTGGACAGTTCTCAATAAGAAATACATTTTTTTCATATTTCACTAATATCATAAACAACATTTTTTCCATATTTCATAAAAAAAAAAATTTAATTTTGTTTAAGTATACAAAAGATGTTCACAATTTTATTTTGCATATTAAAAAATTTGTAGTAATATTTATAAAGTGCTTTTAAGTATATATTAATGTGTTAAAAATTACCAACAATAACAAACAGTACTATTATTGAAAGTGTAAACATATAAATGTAATTAACACATCAATTCATTTTGAGAATTTAACACAAAATTTAATATATAATATAATAATATTTAATTTTTTTAAATTGTTTTGTTTCTTGGATTATATATTTTAATTAAATTTATTGTACTGTACAAGTTAATATCAATATATTACATAAACCTTAGACTATAGGTAATTTTTGTATATATAATATTTACATCATATGCCCTACTAATTTTTTTTGTATTATTTAGATTACACCAATTTCTTATATTCTTAATTACCAACATAATAGCTACTTTGTTACAATATAATGGGCATATAATTTTTTAGACATAACTTTGAATTCTATATAAAATATTTTTATAGCAAAGATCCTATGTTTATTAAAATAGATCTTTATAATTTTATTTTATTTCTTATAATAAATTTGATTTTATACTTGCTTCTTAATAAAATCAAACAAACCAAACATAAATTATATAGCTAGAAAAAAGTACTATATTTAAAAATAACACAATATATTTTTATTTCATAATTTATAAAACCATTTATAGGCTAATCCAAGCAATTCTTAACAAATATATAGCGTAACATAAATTATGAAAACATATTTCTGTTCTTTAATTTTATTAAATATTAAATTATAATTGTATTACATTTTAACCATTAAATTATAAGTTGAATTAATTGTTAAATAGTACATTATAAGTATTTCATTCAATTTATTTATAATTATTTTTCAAAAAAACCAATAAAAATATAGAATTAACTGATACATAATCTAGTTAATAGGAATTTAAACTATTTTTATATTCCTCTAAGTCTTTAATACAAATATAATTTTTGTTACCCTTAACACATAATTTCTTGATGGGTTTGTGATTCTCTTTTGTACTATTACCAATAATTTCAACACTAAATGTATTGCCAGAAAGAAAACCGTGTTTTAAATTTGCAACATCTTCAAACGTTAAGTTTTTCAGTGATTCTATTTCTAGTTCTAATCTATTGAATTTAAACTGATTTTCCAGAATTTCATTTTTATTTCTGTTAAATTCTACTTCCAAACATTCATCAGATGAATAAGATGCAATTAGTGAATTTCTAACTTCATAAACTTCTTCTGGATCATTAAATTTTTCCCAGAATTGTTTTAAAAATTCATTCATTCTACTAAAAACATACTGTGTATCAAATTTATTTCTTTGGTGTGTCACTTGAAAGTAGAAACCGTAATGTTGGTTAATTATTTTTAAATTTAATTGAATATCATAACCAAGACATTGTTTTGTACGAAGTTCATCAAATGCAGATTCTCTCATTATTAACTGTAAAACGTAGTATTTCATGGATTCAGTAATCTCACAATTTTCGAATTGATAATATGTATAAGCCATAGAATTATTATCGATTCTATTGTAGTTTGTTAGTTTTACTCGACAATCTCCTTGGTTGAGACGTTTTACCAAAACAACAGGAAAACATTTCTTGTCCAAAGGCTGATATTTTAAAGTATTTACAACTTTTTTGGAAATTTCTATAGCTTGGTTTTGATTTATATTTCCTTGTATCAATGCTTGACAATATAAATTGCTTAATAATTGTTCATAAAATGTAAGAAGTTGTGAATATTCTAATTTTTCTAAATAACATAATTTGTTGTCTAAGTACCACTCGGGTTCTAGAATTAAACTATTTGTTAAACTATATATAATATAATTTAAATCATATTGTTTATTTTTTAGTTTATTGATGGCTTGAGACTTTACCATATTAAATATTTCCTCAGTTATCAGATTCTTATAGTTCTTTACACAATTTAATACAATGTCTATGAGTAGAGGTAATTTTTCATTATAACCCTCAAATGTCAATTCAAATCCGTGTATATGTACTTGAACATTATAATAAAGTTTGGCCATGATTGTTGGGTATATATCTTCATTTAATAAAAAAGAGACAGAAAGTAAAAACACACTTAAATGTACATTATTTTCCAGTGATTTTGAAGATACTTGATTAATAAAATTTAACATGATATAGCCTTTGGGAAGATTAAAACAATTATCTTGTTTGTGCCATAGTTCAATATGTTCGTTTTCCAATATTTTTTGTGGATATTTTATATATGTACTTTGGGGTAAAATAGAAAAATCTGTTGTTATATATGGATTATCACTTGGAATTTTAAAAAAGGGATGTGGTTTTACATTTGACCATTTATTTTCTAATTCTTCTTTAAAATTGTCACATGAATACTTTGTCCCAAAAATGTCTTCTGTTAAAAGAAAATCAGATTGATCATAATTTTTTGAAAATACGAATAAAGCTACACGATTAACTGACATCAATTTTAAATATGTTTCAATTAATTCTGATGAATATTCAAAGAATAATACTGGACCACTTAAATAGTCTTCTTCGTCATAATTCATCATATTTAAGGAAAGTTCTATTACATGGTTAGGAGCACTTTCATTTTCAGACAAATTAAATTCATTTTCAGCTAAAGTTTGAATTTGTTTAAAAATATTTTCAGATATTCCTTGTTGTCTGATTAAAGCTAAATAACTAAAAGTCAGTTCAATAACCATATCCACATTTTCTAAACCTAAATCAGTTAGTTCAATAGTTATAGGAAATAAACTATAAATATTATTATTAAAAAAATTATCATCTACTCCGGCTACTAATTCCATTGCATAGTTTAATTTTCTCAAATAATTAATCAAACTCCCTTTACCTTCATGTTGTACTACCCAAGAAATGTATTCCAAAGGTTTGTACTTGTACAGATTAATAGTTGGTGGTAAATACCAAAAAAATGTTATTTTTTTAACAGAACCTACGGATAATATTTTGTAGATTTTATGAAAAGTATTTAAGTTGAATGGTACCTTACAAAACGTCATTTCTGGTTTCGGAAGATTGTCAGTAGGTATTTTACTAAAAAAATCATCAATCAATTCTATCATTTCTTGTGTTGTTTGTTGACTTTGCACAGCTAAATACATACGGCTAGCTGAATAGTGGTTTTTCCAAAAATCCAAGATAATTTTATCCAATTTTTTATGGTTCAAACTTTTTAAATTACCACAGATAAAGTTTATTGCAGGACAATCTTTGGAGGCGCATAATGACAATAATCTAATTTAAAAATAAAAAGTTAATAATTGTATTTAATTTGTATAAGCATTATAATGAATTGTACAAACCTTTGCATACGAACACCGTCTTCTGTATTCACCAGCTGAAATTCGGAATCCACTAGTTGTTTTTCCTTATCAATTGATTTTTTGGATAATGTAGGCGCTTGAAACATACTAGCAAAATCATTAACTTTTCCCCGAGAATATTTTTTTGTTGTTATAAAGTTATAGTAAAAAATTGTGTATTCGCACCCGGTTTCGGCATTATAACTACCAATTTTTCTGCGTAAAAATTTATCATTGTGATTTTCTTCTGAGTGATCAATACCCATTGATATCATGTGTTCCAATAAGTGTGCTAACCCTTGAGCCTCTATAGGATCGTTAAAACTACCTACACTAACACTTAAAGACATCGCAAATGTCTCACTTCTAGTTTGTTCTTCTTCTTGGTTTGAACAACTATTGGATAAACCATCAGTCACTTCATCATCATACTCATTCGAACAATTAGTTGATTTATTATGCGTGTACTCGTGCGTATCTATTTTATATTCATTTTCTGGCTGGCTGATCAACAAACATTTCATACCATTTTGTAATGTGTGCAATAAGTAATCCTTTTTATTATTTAAACCTTTATGTATAATCGTCTTTGCATTAGCCATGATAGGTGAGTGTATTCTCAGCTAAAATTTAAAAATGTATTATAATACTATTGGTAGGGAGGTAATAATTTGTTAAAGAATATTTAATCACATTGTTTAAAATTCATCAGAAATTCACAACTCTGCTAAAAAATATTATAGATATATTAGGTAACTATTAAACTATTTTAAACCCTAATAAAACATTTTCGTATGCTGCGATTATTCTACAAATCTAACCGTAAACAATTATAAAATTACCAATAGTAATAGAACGCAACACTAAACAGCAAAATACAATATTATTCACTATAGATGTATTATCAATATTACGGCATTAAACAAAAGAAACGGTCTGTGTAGCTGACAGTTCAGCAGCTGTTTAGCTACAAACACCTTTACAGTAAGACCAACATAATAATATGGTCTATGCATATAAATTGCATGAGGCTGATAGAAGCGTTTAATCTCATATATCTAATCGTACTGGATATACACTCGTCGTATTGATAGTGTTGCCGGATGTGCGTGGCCAAAGAATCGTGTTTTTTGCCCTTCACAGCTCAGATATCTAATCAATAAGCTTATTATCATCACGTAAAATATGTACAATATGGGCCACGATTTTAGATAATATACTAGTTGCCAAACGTTCAATGGAATTGTGGTTTTCATTACTCGAAGATGGGACCGTATTTAAGGGATGGTTTGGAAGGTTAGGTTCGCGGGATTAGGCCAGGGGCAATAGCTCTCTGATATATGTGAGGGGGCGCTACACTTTCACGGAGACTATTAAAAAGTTTTTGGAAAAGTTATAAACAATATGATTAATTCATATTTTTTATATACAGAGTGATCAATCCATTATAAGATACTCGGTATCTCGGAAAGTATTATCTTTTTCAGAAATTGTTTTCTTGAACATTTAAGAAATAAGCGGCTCTAAAATTTTATATTTATTTTCACCCTTATTTTTAAGGGTAAAACTACTATCTCCTTTTGATTTTTAAATGACAACTTATATTAAAAATTACATAAATAGATGGCGTATTAATTCAAATAAATTTTGGTGGTTGTTTTTTATTTCCGTCAATTCGTTGACGAGATATTCCTACTTTTACGTTTGGTTTAGAAAAGAGTAGTGGAGTATCATTTGTATGATGGTAATGCGTTCGGCGTGTTAATAGCCTATCAAAGGAAATCTGACTGGAAAGATTCTTTAGAAAGATCATTGTTCGATTTTCTCAAGTTTTTTCAACAAATATAAAAAGCCGGGAAAAACGTAGGAAAGATGACAGGAAAATTGGTACAATATTAAACAAATATTATTAAAGAAAATACATAATGCCTATTTAATTATTTTACCATAATATAACATACATATTGTTGACAAAGCATCACTATCAACTGAACACTTCGCAAAGAATAGTTTTTAGTAAGCTTTTAGTTTGGTTTATTGTTACTTAGCGATACAAATTAATTTCTTTTCGATATCCTACATTCCCAACTTACCACCAACAGTGGCTACACCCATCGTTCGAAGTATGTCCGTCTTTTTTCTATACGTTAATGTGGCTTTAAGAACACTGTAAGGTTTAGGAGCGTTTCCCAAATCACACGCAGCTCCGGTGTAATTTGGCCTCCAATTGTTTGACTGAAAAGTTTTTTTCTACACTTCATCGAATAAAACAATATTTAAGATCAACTATGTCTTCAAAAAGACTTAATATTCTTGCAGTTCTAAACATAGAAGGTATTCTCACAAATTTGAATTTTACAGATGTGATGAAAAAAATTTGCAGCAAATTAAGCAAGAAAAAAAAAACTGAAATAATAGTTAAATATAATATATATACATATGTTAATATACTGTTCTTTGTTATTATAATATTATTTACCCTTTATTGCATTTGCCTGTTTTTTTAGATTTTGAGTGGAACGAAGAATATATTGATTTTACAAAGATGTTTTTTTTTTTTTTTTATGTGAACACATTTTCTACCAGAAAGCTTACTGTATATGATATAGCAACTTTTCTGAAACGAAATTTTCTTGGGGCGGTACTGTAAGGAGATCGTTTTTTTTGATTTTCCCGGTAGTTTTCCAATAAAAAGCAGGACCGGATATAGACTTTCGGATCCATGAGACAAGTCTTTTTTTGAAGCCTTTATCAGTAAACAAATTAAAAATACCCAATATCTAAGTAGTTAAAAAAAATTAAAAAATTGCTAACTTGCACGTTATATACTGGTGTTTATGTATCACAAATTTTAAAATTGAGAACAAAATTATTTAATAAATTTTCAATGAAGTATATAATATAATAATAATGTTTAGATTATCTGTTAAATGAAGTGAGAACATTTTTATCATCTCAATTTTATGACTCCATGAGTTGAAAATTAGTTAGTCCACCCCCTCCCCTCCACCATAAATATTAAATATTATGTCGGGATGACCCTGGAACGAACTTTTCCAATCTTCACCAAAATTATTAGTCTGGTGTGATTTGGACATTGTTTGGTCTCTTAAATTCCAAATAGAAGGAGGGTACCATGTATTAATCATCGTTATTACCTGTAATATAAGTTTTGTCAAAGTATGAAATAAGAGGTAATAACTTGCTTAAAAATGATTTATACATATTACTAATTTCAATTGAAATGTCGTTTATAGGCATAATGCTAAAGAAGTAATCATTTTACACTGCTTCGAAATTTGTTCGTTTTCTTTGTATAACTTCATTGATCCAAGCTGCTGAAATTGTCGCCATACAGACTGGCACGAATAAAAGAAACAATCGTGAATTTGGGCTCCATTAAAAACACGATTTATCGGATTTATTACACCCAATTCAAAATCTATTATAATTCGTTCAGGCTTAAGGGGACTTTTATTTTGAATATATGCTACGATAATATTCATCATCATTTTTTGGTAAGTATTTTCCAATTTATCCGAAAGAAAAACGTATACACAAGTTTTAACATCTCTTTCTAATTCTGCTAATATAATGTATAATTGAGCAAATAAACTGGAACATTTAAACGTACCATCCATAAACCATAGATTTTTCGAAGATAAAACAAAAATGATAGAAACTAATCTTTTAAATCAAACCATTCGTAATGATAACACCGAGGACAACAGAACCACACTAAGATCCAGTATATCAATGGTAGAATCGTCTAACAACAATCATCAAATCCATTTAAGGATATGCCGAATTTGACGTCAGACCATGCAGTCAACACAATTAGGTTGGAGGCAGCCCTAAAGCTTCTTCCCACTACATTCAGCGGAGAAAATTAAGAAGTGCGGTTCTCCGAAAAGTGTGAATTTGATATAATGTGCGCCAACAACCGTGCCAAATCCCGATTGTTACAGGGTATAATTATTAGATTAACGAGCAAAGCACAAACTGCAGTGAAATTCTGAACTATTAATACGTGGATTGAGCTAAAAAACACTCTGAAAAATATAAGAGCCAAAACGAACCACAACACACTTATATCTCGAACTGTACTCAAGCAAAAAACGAACTAACGAGGACGTAGCAGCATTCATATTCCGCAAGAATAGAAACCTTACAGAAACTTATACTGGAACAGGAAACAAGTGGCGAATCAGTAGAGGTATTTTCTGCACTAGAAACAAGTTGAAGGCATAAACAATTCAGGTTTTCATTAAAGGTCTTGGCAGTCTTAAGGACTTCATTAAAACTTGTAATCCTCAAACGTTAGATAAAGCTATAAAAGCGGCTAGAGAAGAGGAACAGATCAGAAAATCATTTTTATGAAGATCCTCATAAACAAAACAACAGCAGAAACTGTAACCCGTAACGCCGTGTTTCCATCGTGGAAAAATGAGGCATTGGGTGAAGGATTACTGATCGCCTCAACAGATAAAAACAAACGGCGGAACCTCAGTTACTAATAGTCCACGAGCCACAGTTAATATTTTTATTTGCAATTATTGAAAGAAACCGGGACACTGATAATACGAATGCAGGAAGTTAAAGTATGTTAATTCAAAAAAAGGAACGGAAAATTCGGAAGGAACCCCAAGAGGGCTGGGAAACCAATCACAGATAGACCGAATGGCTGGCGTCCGGCTGGAAGTATCAAAACTACCACGATTTCGTTCAAGAATCATGCTAAAAACGACAGCCAGACAGATACTCGAAAATGATTACGTCACTTGCCGAAGTCCCCAGACCATTAATGATACTATTAAATTTTTATTAAACTCCGGAAGTGCAACTGCATCACTACTGTCAAGAACAAATCTGTCTTAATAACATTAATTAATCCAACAGAAACGGAATTCCAACTTCAATTCCCAAATTTGAATCAGTTAGCCCATGAGGAATTCAATGAAGCCTCCATTAGTACCACGAAAATCTCGGACCAACCAGAAAATCAGGCTGATGGTGGTAGAATAGCAAAGTTACAGGGATTACTTCCAATTGAACATTTGAAGCCAGAAGAAAAGCCATCATTATCCACGATTTACGACCAGTACTTGGATTTATTCTTCCTCAAATGGGACAAAATAACCACTACTACAGTAGTAGTACACGAAATTAGGACTCCAAACGCAGTGTAGCCCATACATGATAAACCATATCGATTACCTACGACAGAAAATATCTAACCAAATGGATATTCTAAAATAAGACGATATAATCGCCTTTAGCGAATCGTGGAGAAATGCCCCTCTGCTAGTAGTGCCTAAGAAACTCGATATAAACAGGAAAGTCAAGTACCAGGTTTGTGTTGACTTTCGTTGATTAAGTCAAGTCACAATAGGTGACGCATTACCCCTACCGAACATTACCGACATTTTAGACTAATTGGGCAATTTAAAATACTACACTACGCTTGATTATTAAAGTTTATTAAATGCTGACAGTAAACCTACACCGAATGCGCTCAAGTTAGCTGGTAACCTATTCGATACAGAACCTCCTAATGCATTAGCGCATTTCGGCAGATTTTAAAATGTCTAAGGGAATTAATTTTTTATGACAGGGAAATTAGGGAATGTGAAGAAATTACTACAGCAGAATGTAGCATGTATAAAGCTTGAACAAAAATCAATATTGTATTTGGTAATGAAAGAAAATTATTGGCTAAAACCAACGTACGAATCATTCTACGTTAGTTTACAGAACTTTGAAAAGTTATGTACAGAGTTAAAGATAACTAGACTGACATGTCCTTGATTTGGATGCCGATTAGATAGTTTATAGTGGGAAACTGTACATAACATGATCAAGCATATTTTCAGAAACTCGGATATGCAAATTTACGTGTATACAATGGATAAATTAACAACGGAACAGAAAATCCATGAGAATTCTTTAGGAGGGCATTTAGGAATAACAGGAACTTTTAATAAAATATACGTGGAACATAATTGGAAAGGCATGTGGAAGCAAATCAAGCAATACGCTAAAAAGTGTACAATGTGTTAACAGAACAAAATAACATTAAGATTAATATTTTTCACACTTCCACTGTTTAACCATCTAAACCTATCACTTTTTATCTTTTATTGCTCTCACAGCCCACCAAACTTTTTTAATTGTTATTATATGGCACAGTAATTATATTGGTATAGGTTAAAAAAAAAATCAAATATTAAACTCTTATATTAAAAATGTGTTTAAAAAGCAAAAAATATGTATACCCTGGAAAAAAATGAGGTCATTAGTGTCCATCGTTATCACTGTGGTTAGTTAAACCAGTCTTATAGAAACAGCTTTCAAATATAGCTATTAATAGGAATGGATCTGAATTTTTAGTGTTTTTCCAGCCTTCAGTACTCTTCACAATAGAAAAATTACTATATAAAATAAAAACATATGAAAATTATTAGTAACAAATAAGAAAAAACAACAAAATATGTTATAACAAATAGGTGTAAATTATGTTTAATTTTAAAATTTTAATTAATATTGTGCATTTTTCCCAAAACCTACTCAATAAATAAGGTGATATACATCTGAGGCTCGGATTCTAAATGTAATTAATATATTATTAAAATTTATAATACACATTTCTTAATGAACGTCATGGTTTGAACTTTTAATTGATTAGCATTATGTCTATCGGTCAACATTAAGAAATCGCACACATTATCAATAGATATTTTTTTACTCAAAACTTCTTCACATATGACTTTCAGTCTCTCTAAAGCATACTGTAATATAAACAACAGTATGAGTATGTATAATGTACTTTATTATGGGTGCAAATTCAAATATCAGAAAATTTATCAACAATATTTTTGTATACCTTGTTGGCTGATAACAATTTGTTTACCACGCTTTCTATTTTTTCAGATCGGCCTGTGTACATAAATCTCAATGTTTCTTCAAAAACTTTATGGTCTATATCGCTAATGGTGATACAATTTTGTATACTTTCTGCAAATTCATGATCTAACATTGCACCAAATACAGAACTCCTTCCTAAAGAAACACATTAATTAATATATTATTTGATACAATATTATTGTATATAAGAAGAATAATCCGATTAAAATAATTACCAGAAAGTATACTTTTATGTGCTTTAAATTCTCACCCACCAACCAAAAATGTAATGTCACAAAATGTTTGTGTTTCAAATACATTTTCTAGATCTTTACATAAACAACTTTCAAGCACTGGGAAAATCTGACTAGATTCATTAACAATATCCACAGTAGTTACCTGCGTATGTATTCTGATCAGTGACATCTATTACTAAAAATAATAATGTAATACTAAGTATCAATATTTACATTGGTTAACTCGATGGTTTTGACCTTGCCTTACACAAAACAACAGTTCTCCGATCAGTACTATTGAGTTATTCGTTGTATACAGACGATTATTATGGAGAGCTCAAAATTAAATTTTCAACACTCATTACATTTAATGTAACAAATTTAACAAACAATGAACCTTCAAGTTATTTCTTGGTTTTTCTTATCAGTTATCAGAAATATTTGAGTTTCAAGATATTTATAGTTTTTAATATTTTTCAAATATTCGAGTAAACAAAATAACCTTCATCAAGTCGAATCGAGTACTCGAACTCGACTGGAAATGTTTTTCAAAGTAGAGTACTCACCCAACCTTAATACATTTAATCACCGAGCGCTTTTTTAAATATTAGGATCATGAGATCCGACTTATGCATTAATTAGTTGATAAGAGCTCCTTCAAAAATCACAAAAAGTCCCATGTTTGAACATATGAATGCTACTGTTATTAGTATTTAAACTTTCCATTAGTAGTATATTTTAGGTTTATTTAATGAGGATTTCTTTTTATGATTTTTAGTTATAGAATAAAGTTATTTTTTACCCTATTAGGTAAATAGTTAATCTGACCACAGATTATTTTATGGTGTAGTATATATGAACCAAAGTTGTATGAAATAATTTTTAGTATGTAGATATTTCATTTCAGAAAGCCATATGTGGTTAACAGGATAAAGAGAATGAACGCAGAAAATCTGATTTTTGATTGTTGCTTTATCGTTGAAAATATAAGACCGAGAGGAAAGGATCAAAAACCGATCACGGGTTTGACACGAATACAAATTAAATAAGGGCAAGGTTAAAATTCTTGTAATTTAAAAGAAAAAGAAAAGCAATTATTTCTAACCATAATAAATTGTTTCCTCTGCCAAAGAACACAGGTAATTTTAAACTACATTTTGAAAAATCCCCTTGTATTTAAATGTGTTTTCTTTTACCTAAAAAGAAATCATTTGTAATAATAGGTACATCAATATTATAGTATAATAAAATAAATATTATACATAAGTCCATAAGTCATACTATTAATTAAACTACTTCAACTTATAAGACAAAATATATGAGGATAAGTAGACTGAACTGTAAAGGCAAACATAAATCATTGTAGCTAATCTACCAAATTACAGCATAGTGTAGCAATAACAATATGACTCAAATTAAATTGTTCTTAGTTATAAACCAAACTCAGATTCAAGCACGGATTCAGTAGGGGAGGGGGGGAGGAGACTGTATTTTACTTAAGATAAATTTCCTAGTAAAAATACTCAACAAAAACTACGTTGCTGGTTTATAATTATCTAGTTTCCTAATTGTATGCAGGTCTTAATCAAACACACACAATTGACGATAATTGATCATTATAATGATATGGATAATTTTTTATATTATAATTATAACTTATAAAATATATGCTGAATAATCTAGACATAATCAATATATTCATTTATGTGTTCTAAAGTATCAAATATGCAAAATAAGTTTGCTTATTAGCAAACTAGAATTCGTGAATCAAATTTATATCATACTCAATATAATTCTGATTACGCGAAAAAAATATGCAGTCATAAACAACTGAGACTCTATTGAGGACAATGTTGTATAATAACATAACTAGTAATTTTATGTATTATGTTATATATATTAAAATAACTAATTTGTATAAGTTCACACACTTACAGATATTTGTACAAATATGTAATTATTCAGATATTTTATTTTTGAATGTGCAATATTCACCCCTCCCCACCCATAATATAAATTTGAATCTGCTGCTGTTCAGATTTAGGTTAAAGCAATGAAAAAAAATACATCCAAGGATAATGGGGACAAGTGCAGCCACCATATAAGTGATTTCATGTATACCTATAAGCAACGATAAATTATTGCTAACAAAAAAACGATTTTAAACACAGTCCAGTTGATAATGATGCTTTGTCAACAATATATACATCATAATATAGTAAAATAATTAAATAGGGATAGTATATTTTCTTTAATATTTGTTTAATATTTAACCGATTTTCCTGTGTTTTTTTTCGGTTTTTCATATTAGCTGGGAAAACTTTTATAAAATTGAAAAATGACTTCTCTAAAATACCTTGCTAGTGAAATTTCCTTTTTAGAAAAATTTTCATCATTATAAATTGGAGAAAAATTTATGGCAGAAGTCATTTACAAAAAAAATCGTAATATATTTCGTTCATTCTCCCACTTTTTCTCAGTATATCTACTATGCAGTTAATATAGTTAGTGGAGTGAAGCTCATTATTTTATAATGTTTATTTGTTTATTTTTCTATGGAACAATTTTCTACCAGCAATTTTGTTCAGATTTTCAATGATAACACTTTTTCAGGAAGGAAATCTGACAGGGGAAGTCGTATTTTGATTTCCCCAAGTTTTTCCAATAAATGGGAAAAACTAGGAAAATAGGTACAATATTAAACAAATATTATTAAAGGAAATATATAATGCATATGTAATTATTTTACCATAATATGGTATATATATATATTTGTTTTTACTTTATTATTTTATTAGCTTTTTTGATTTTTTTTCCTACATATTTTAACATCACCGGATAAATTTGAACGTTAGCACATATTTACATAATCAATAGACAAGAACATCACGCCCTATGTCAAAACTAATAAACATTTTGAAAATAATTGTAAGTATCAAATGTTGAAAATCAAAACAGTTTGTTTTGAATTACATATTTATATGCAAGTGTTGAGTCCAAACTTTNGTAAAATATAAAACTTTTGAAAGTCTGGAATTTTAAAATAAGTATCTATACTGAAAAGTTAGGGGATGGTGGAATAGGTCACTGAAAAATATTGTAGAAATTTAATTAATAATATATTAAATTATATCTATAGTTATATCCTGGATCAAACCCATGTAAAGCCATAGCCCATATTTTCTTACTTGGACAATAAACGTTAGTTCGGCATCTTGGTGTGGTCTATGTTGCAGCTGACCTGACTGGCTGTTAAACCACTGAATAGGCAGCCTGCAAAATAATAATAATAATGAATTAAAAAAGACTGATTACATTTTACAACAGAATTCTGGAATTCTTTGCATACTATGATATTCCTATATGTATCATTTTTATCAAAAATAAATATTAAATCTTTAATTTAAAATTGTAATGTTTACTATAGCAGAAATTTACTTGAAGTTGAAAATTGTTAATACAAATTATAATATTTCATATTTTTTAAATAACTACTTCATAACTTAGATAGAGGTTCTCAAACTGTGGGTCGTAATACTATATTTTTGGAGTTGTGTTATATTTTATAAAATGCAGCCGTGCCTAGAGGATACATGCACCCACGGAAGTTTTAAAAGTCCTATAGTTGAATATTTATACAACTAACGTACAAGTGAATACTGAGTACCACAGGTTTTTAAAATTTATGGGAATTTCATAAACCTTATCATAATAACAATTATTGAACTTGACTAGATGCCAAACATATAATATAAAATAACTACCTATAAATAAAAAAATTAATATATCTAGGTGAGAACAATGTATAGTCGGCATGAATTTAAAAACGGAGTTAACATGGATAACCTTTAACAATTAAAATTCACTATGGATTACATCTTAATAGTATAGAAACTAAAAATAATTGGCCCGAAGCATAATAGGTCCAAAAGCCATACAGAACAGACGACCACTGGCAGCAAACACATAATAATCATACTGATGATGAACGTATTAGATTGTCAATTAATTTGAACAAGATAATATACTTTACCAAAATTCAGTTGCAGAAAAAAAATTGAAATGTGAAACCGCGAGGTTTTGACATCTAATATTTGACGCGTCTTGGCGATGCAGTTGAGCAACCTGGTTAGTGGTTACTATAGTCACGACACTTAAAGTGGAGGGTGACCGCAACGATCATAACGGATTTCTCCTGGCAGGTATGTGGTTTGGTGAACACAAACTATTTTAGGAACACATACTCCGTTTCAAATAAAAACGCAACGGGCGGCGGACGATAGTCGGTCAAAACTCGAGCAGCCGACTAAAGGCGATCAACCATTGAGCGAATAGGCTAAGTTAAGGAGGCAGGACGTCGCGTTACGTTAGGATGCGCCGAGCGAACGGTGTGTTCTTATAGGGGAGTATAGTTTACTGTAATTGTTTTTAATTGTTTGATAGCTGAATGCACTTTACGTCATGAACATGAACCACACAAACCATAGACATTTAATATAATAATAATATGACACGAACTGACACCGTGTGGTGTGAAGAGCCTGAATAACCTAGTCATAGATTCCATGACAATTGACAATTTATGGATGTTCCGCTATCAATATTTAATAAATGAGCCCAGTGATTCTCAAAATGCATGAAAATTGAATTGAAGGCGTTAGATAGGCAATAAATATGCAATAACGCACGATGTGAGGCACAAAAACAGTATTTTTTAAGTTGTAGCATAACGTCACAGTAATCAGCCTAATCATACTTCTTTGTCAGACTTTCGATTAATGATAGACGCAAATCGACTACAAAAAAATTGTGTAACCAATTACAGTACCTATTTTTGTTCCAAGTAGATTTTTTTCACATTTAGCTGCACCAATGTTTACAGAAGGATCTAATATTTTAATTGATTGTAAATAAAATTCATAATTTACCAAGTGGTGGGTCGAGCCCGAATCTAACTATATATATATATATATATATATATATTATTTTATTAGGTTTACTTTCATTTACACTATTCGTATCTGCCATAAATGTAAAACCTCTATCTTCCTCAGGTAAATTGGTTATTTTGCTTTTTCTTTTCTTTTGTTGGCCAGACTTGAATTTCTTACAAAATTGATTCTTGTGGCCAAATAAGTTACAATAATGACATTTAAATCTAAATACTTCAAAAACTGACGACGTACCATCATGGCTGCTAGTAGGTTAATTTCCAATGACCGTTTAGCTTCCTCGTCTAATAGGCGTCGCATGACAAAATCTAATGTGATCTGTTCTTCTGATAGAGCCTCAATAGCAATAACCATAAAATTAAAAGATTCTGGTAATGTTAGAAGTAGTAAACAAGCAATCATATCTTCTTCAACCTTGCATCCAGACCCTTTCACTTGACGATAAAGGTCGTCAAATTTAACCAAGTATTTTTCCATCGGTTCATTATTGTACTTTAACGTTAACATTTTTTTTTTAAAAGATATAAACAATTAGCAGTACCTTTACAATCAGAAGTTGCCAATAAATAGTTCCATATTTCCTTTGCCCATGAACATTCTCTGACGTACTCAAGATAGGAGTCAGTTGTACACTGAACAATTAACGCGATACCGTCTGCATCTTTATCGTTAAATTCGTTTAACTTACTCTCTTCCTCCAGTGGATCTTCAGTTAACAATTTCAGAACGTTGTGTTTTCTCAACAACAGGGGCGGAGTGGCCCATCTGGAAATCTGGAATTATCTAGATGGACCGGTACTGAATGATACTATATGGGCCGGACAATTTAAAAAAAAATTGTTTAAACATTTCATTTAATAACAATATTAGTATAATCAGTGTAGTTCAAAATAACAAATAATATTTATTGACCCATATTACAAATAAATCTTGTTACAATCTTAAAATGATTTATGAATTATACTAAAAAATTAACATCAGAACGTAAGATATTATGAAATATCAAATGTCGATAATTATTGACTATTGTGATGCATGGGTATTTCCACATTCCACTGCCTCGTACACACCACTGTACGAATGGATACTGGCGAGTGTTTGATTCCCGGAAGTTCTTATCTATCGCGTCAGTTTTCAGTTCTAATTATAGAATTTAATCGTATATTTCCAAGTCGTAACTAATAACAATGTACGTCAGTTGACACGATAAACGATTATATGAAAACATAGAATTATCACAATTACTCTTAAATCATTATAACCGCTGTTTTCGAGAGTGTTTTTCAATGTTAATTATTTTGTTTTTTTCTTCACGTACAATTTACATTTCTACAATTTAATTTTCTCTTAATGAACAATTCACACACGTTGAAAAAAAGGAAAGGAGGAGCAGAAAAAGAACGCGATAAAAAAATAAAATAAAATACTTCTAGAGTCGGCTCAAAATTGCACAAATATTATTTCGTTAGGTTAGGTACCTATGTTTTACATACATAGTTTGACATATTTAACAAACAACAATAAGTAATATTGATACCCTCTGTGCTAAATTGGTGAAACGGTGCTGAAAATTTTGACTGGTTCAATTATTTTTGTAATGATTTTCAATACCTATTACATGTTGTATCTAAATGTAAGTATCTTATTATAGAATTAATTTTTTGTTTAGGTAAAAAATCTATCTCTTTTTAGTGAATCATCATTCAGTGAACTTTAAAAGACTCTTTATAAAAAAAGTTGGAAAATATTTAAGTTGGTTTAGACGATAAAAAAAAATTGAGTTTTGCAACAACAAGCTTGGCTGATTTAGTAATAAATAATTATGATTTTGTATTACAGTAAATATGGTGATGTTTTGAAAGAAAATGTGATTTTTAATAGCCTTATTAATCTAAATTGTACAGATATATAGAATACTCATTGTTTTTAAAAATATATATATAAATGATATGTAAAAATATTGTAGTCTTGTACCAAGAATAAATAATATTATTATAATTATCATTTAAATAGTAAAATAAATAAATAAATTAAATACATAAATACATAAACGTTGTAGTAGTCTCTATGGATCATTAATTTTAATAATTTTTAGAAACGTGAAGAATATTTTATAGTGGTTTAAAAAGTATTAAAGTATTTTAGATATTTATTTATTTATTTATTTAATCATTAAAACATTTTGTATAAATATATTTAATATACCAATATAATGATTGATACCAAATCCCTGTAAGCTATGCTTGGTGATGCTAGGTGAGATTCGGGAGTCTAATATAATATCTAATTAATATTTAATTGACGAATTATGATAATATTATGTCTAATATATAAAAAACGTACATATTTAACATAATATGTGATTTACATATTATCACTAAAGAAAATAAAAATAAAATAAATTTATATAGTTGAATACCTAGTTATTATATAAGGTGAAAAATAGAAGGACTTCTAGTGAAATAGATTTGCATACCATTTTTTAATTAGGTAACTCAAAATGTTGATTTTTATTAATTTGTTTAATTTTGTATGGAAATTGATTTATAGAGATTTATTTCTCTGTATATTATATAAACCATATTAATTAAGATCGTATTAGGCTAACATAATGTAAGTTTGCAATTGTTCATATTTCATGAGACATTGAGTCAAAAACTTTTGAGACGTCTAATAATATAGGTACCTAAACAAAACTTATCTCTATCTAGTGCACTATAAGCTGAATTCGCTACTAGTATATACACAAAATCCTAATTGCATTTCAAAATATTTTTGTAGTTGGATTTTTGCTAGTCTTTTTAGTAGTTTAGATATTGCTGAAACTAATGATATTGGTCTGTAATTTTTAAGCTCTGTGTGATCACCTGTTTTATAGATTGGAATCGCAGTTGTTTGTTTATATATATATATCAGGAAAAGTACCCTTTTGGAAGCTTAAGTTTACTAAATAAGTAACAGGTTTAACTATACATTTTGCTATTTGTACTAATAGATCAGATGAAATTCCATCTAAACCAGGTGATGGACCCTTTTCATAATTTTCAATTACTTTATTTACTTTGTATTCAGAAAAAGGTATAAAATCATGATCATATTTCATAATGTAAATATTTTGGTTAATTTTATTTATTTATGTTGGTTTATTATAGTATAATATTTTTATCTTTTTGTATTAATTCTGTTATATTGTTACGTACATTTATAAAGTGATTATTAAAAGCATTTATAAACAATTTCTCAACAATGTTTGTAATATCAATTAGTTATAAGAAATGATTTTGGAGGACTACAAATTATTTTTTTGTTAACTATTTCTCTAATTGTGTTCCAAACTTTTTTAATATTTCCAGTGTTGTTTTTAATTTTAATTTTATTTTTTAGCTAATCATATTAGTATGCATAATTTATTTATATATTTTTTATAATAATTATGTAATTTGATATCATTATTTCTTTTTAATACCTACCGTTTTACGTAATTTATATCTAGTTCTAATTCATTTTACTAAGCTGTTAGTTATCCATGGTTTAATTCATCTTCTATTTAATGGAATGTAATTATCCTTCATTTTTAAAGAATCAAATAAGTATTTATTCAATGTTATTTAAATTGTTTGCACATTTATTAAAATGATTTATTTAAAACTGTAAACCAATTTTGTTCTGTTAAAAATGAGATTAGTAATCTTTTGTTAGTTATAGGATTTTCATTGTTATAGTTTTTACTGTAACTATATTTACTGTAATATAATTTTTCTTTTATGCTCTTTTGCTTAACAATTAATATTATACTATAATGATCAGTGTTATTTGATTGATATGTAATAAGAATTAAGTTTGGCAAATCAGTATAATTTTTATAAATATATGATCAATAGTGGTGCTGCAGGAACCGTTGTCTCTAGTGATATCATTAATACAACTTAATTAAATTCTGACATTATATCTCCTGTTACTATGGTTTTATTCACTGAAAAATATTTGATAATATTTTAGTTAATTGGATTTCAAATTCTATAAAATAATTATTATGATTTCAGTAAAGTGGTATTATTACACGAGTAGTATCTCTAGTATTAATATTAGATTGTAAACAATTACAATTATCAATAACTATATCGTTTATATCATTAACTTTATACTTAGTATTAACTATAAAGTAATATTACTCTATGGTATTAACATCATAGACATATTAATATAATAATAATTATATTAATTATTATTATTAATTAACAATAATTGTTGAAAAAAATATATATATTGTTTTGTTATAGGTGGAGCAAAAATAAAGTTTATAGAAAGAAACAGACAAACATTTAGAAAGTGTTGCTGGTACTTGGCCGGCTTAAGTCAAAGAAAGAATGAAATATATTTGTACAGCTTGTAATTACATTAATTACAAACTTGTTTTTTATTTTCATGTCAATGTTGAATAATATTTTCAATAAAAAGGACAGAATTTTATTATTATAAAATACGTTTTTTATTATATTATCAATACTATAGAAGATAATTTGTTTTTTTTTTCAATAAACATATCACTTTTTTTCTTGACTCATATGATCTAATTATTAAAAAGAATGCAGGTTAATACCAAATTGTATATTCTTTTAACATCTTTCATGTGTTCTATATACATTAAATATGTTTCAGGATTTTAGCGGAACAAACTTAAAATATTTGTTGGATACTGTTTGCAGATATCTTATGAATATGTTTGTACTTTGTAATTATATATGGTATTATAAAAATATTCTGAGATGAGACATACTAAGTTGCTAATAATATTCCTAAAATATCTGAAGGTTATTACCAAATTACATATACAACAATTCTAAAAAAGTATAATCATATTTTAAGATAAGAATATTGAAGGTGGACACACCTAATAAATAGATATTAGTACAATTTTGTAAATTGAATTGTATATTCCTGAATTTCACGGTTTGGTGCCGGTACCAAACTACGAAAATTCAGAATTGAATAGAATTGAAGAATGAACAAGTTTGGTTAAGATTGTCATCAAATAGTTTCAGTTATTGAGCCCTCTCAAAAATGATACAAATGAAAAATAAAACATTATGAATCCTGTTTTAGTTTATCATAAAATAATTGTGTACCTATTAAGAAAAACTGATTTTAAAATTCATTATGTTATGTACATTTTTAATATAATGTGGTTAAAAATATAATGAAATACTAATAATAAATAATACTTTACATATAATGTTATTATTTTTAAAATGTTCACTTGTAATATTTTGTGTTTGTGTGTTTCAAATCTGTGTGCAAGTAAAAAAAAAAAAGAATGTTATGCTTTATTGTTGGTTTACCAGCTATTGACACTATTAATTAATTGAATTAATTAAAAAATTGTTTATTATCGGCAATACCTTAATGGATTGTAATAGATTTAATGGCTACCATCCATTATTGTTACTACTAAATTAGGTACTCCAGAGAAATGGTCTTAACAAGAACTATAAAATTAAAATACCTACCTACTAAATAGGTAGTTTATATAAAACCGAATAAAGTTAAACATTTGATATATAGTGATGGCTAAAATAATATATATATATATAATGTAGAGAATCGTTATATTAACATCATTATTAATAATGAAATAAAAATATAAACATTTTTTTTTTTTTTTTTTGATTAAGCAATACATTTTCAGAATTTGATCAGTATCATTTTGTGTGGGTACATGTTAAACAACAATTAATTTAAATAAAGAATCCAACAAACTTTTCTGTTACACATGTTTAAATGTACCTAATTTGAATACATTTTATTATATTCGGAATGTTAAAGTTTTTACACACTGTTACCTACTCTCACCCACACATATGCAGTCATGAGAGTAAGAATTGTTTTAATAATTTATTCAATAAAGAGTTTACAGGACAAAGTTTTTTTTTTTTTTGAATATTCAAGACTATTTCATGGGTTAGGGAATATTTAGAATATTAAGCATATTTGTATTGAATTCAATTTTGGTAGGTAGGTATAGAAATATTTTTTTGTACAATAGCAATACGTTTTTGAAAGTTAGATAGGGTAATAAATAGATAAACAAAGAAATTACAATACGATTTCAGGAGCTGGGTAGGCTACATGGGTACAAAATCGAACGTTAGCAATAGAATTCGATACCGACCTGTTTTAAGGAGTCGAGTATAGGCAAAATAAAAGGTGTTGCGTGCACGGCATGATAAACAATGTGGTATACCCGAGTGTAACCACGTGGTTCAGCCAATCGGGGAAAATTATTTTATACGACACGACACGACGCGGGGTGTGGTACGAACGTTTGGCCTTTGGATCGATTGTTTTACGAAAGCTATTGAAATAAGGCCCCCCCCCCCTCTTAAATTTTTTTCTGCACAAGGAGTCCTACCGATTTTTGAAAACCAATTTAAATTTCCGCCGGCTAATTCAAAAATAAATAAATCAATACGCGCGCTGGCGAACCGGGCCCCGCGCCTGATGGAGCCTCGCGTTTTCATATTTTATTATCGTGCCCGTATCCGAAACGCTTATCTGGCGAAATAATTCTATTCATGCACCTACTGTCGGAAATGCATATTTCGCGAATTTCTCAACTATTTACGACTATAAATATAGCCTTGATAAGATATGATATCGAATTGATTGGTAATCGTTGGTGTCGTGCGATGTTTGCCTTAATTGATAAACACACGAATGAAATTGAATCACAAGTAGAAGATTTCATTTTCTTTTGAACTGTCGCGGTCATTGCTTGTCAAAATTACGGAAGTGTTACAATTGATTATTATTTATTACAATATTAAAACCATTGCTTGAACTGTGGTGGTGGGGGGAGAGGTAAGGGAAAAGAGCTCGTCTACTTTAATTTTCCCAGTTCCAGCACTGATTATAATAGATATAGATGTACAATAGTATTATAATACATCTAAATCATTTTGTTTTCAAACGTTTTTTTGGTCCCTACCAGAGTAGTTTTTTTTTTTTTTTTTTATTCTGAAATAAGTATAGTTTATAGATTATTTAATCCAATGATTTAACTTTCAGTCTAGCCAATTATTTTACCTACTTAAATACTCTATTAAATCGACCTTTCGAGCGTTTGCGTATTTTGACGTCACGAAGTTTTTAATTACGATTACATTTTACTACAGAACTCTGCAATTCTTTGCACACTATGATATGCTTATACGTATTATTTTGATGAAAAATTGTGGTGATTACTACAGCAGAAATTCACTTGAAGTTGAAAATTGTTAATACAAATGTAATATTTCATATTTATTAATAGAAGTTCTCAAACTGTTGGTCGTGATATTATATTTTTGGTGAAGCACGTTAAAATTTTAGAGCTGTGCTTAGGGGGCACATGCACCAGGTACTATGACCACGGACACGCCAAACAGTGCCATTGAAAGTTATTGTTATTGTGATAAGTATATGAAATTAGAAGGCTTTTTTATAGTGCTTATATTTATCACATAAATAAATTGGATAGGTAGTTGGTACTGCGTTGTGTTTAGAAACGTTTTCTAGAGTCGCCAGACTCGTTCATAAAGTATTTGAGGCGTATCGGGGAATTTATCGACATGTTCAGAAACCAGGTTAGTTTATTTGCCTCCTTTAACGCACTTAAACTCAGAAATACTCAAAATTACTCAGCATTTTTAACTAATACCTAAAATTCTTACATTTTCTGTTTTTTACATTTGACAGGAAAACTCTTGAGAAAATCGAAAATTGACTTCTTCAATATACCTCCTAAACCGATTTTCTTTCAAAAAAGTTGTTACATATAAAAATCGGAGCAAGATCTCTAGTAGAAGAGGTGTCCACAGAACAAAAAAAAAAAATATCTTGGTAAAACCATAAGATTCTTCGATCCACTCAGAATTTAAAATAACACAATGTATTTTTATTACATAATTTTTAGGAGCATTTATAAGCTGATCCAAGCAATTTTCAACGGATATAAAGGATAATATAAATTAGTAAAAAATATTACTGTTCTTTAATTTTGTAAAACATTAAAATACAATTCTATTAAATTTTAACCATTAAATTAAATTACAAGTTGAATTAATTATTAAATAGTACAATAAAAGTATTTCATTAAATTTATTTACATTTATTTTTCAAATAAACCAAAAAATATACGGAATTAACTGATACATAATTTAGTTAATAGGAATTTAAACTATTTTTAAATCCATTTAAATCTGTAATATAAGTATAATTTTTATTTTCCTCAAGACAAAATTTCTTGATGGGTGGGTGATTCACTGTTGTACTATTACCAATAACTTCAACACTTAGTGTATTGCCAGAAAGAAAACCGTGTTTTAAATTTGCAACATCTTCAAATGTTAAGTTCTTCAGTGCTTCTATTTCTAGTTCTAATCTATTAAACTTAAACTGATTTTGCAGAATTTCATATTTATTTCTGTTAAATTTTTGTTCCAAACATTCATTAAACGATTTAGATGCAATTAGTGCATCTCTAACTACATAAACTTCTTCTGGATTGTTAAATTTTTCCCAGAATTTTTTTAAAAATTCATTCATTCTACTAAAAACATACTGTGTTTCAAATTTATTTCTTTGATGTGTCACTTGAAAGTAGAAACCATAATACTGGTAAATGCTTGTTACATTTAATTGTATATCATAACCAAGACATTGTTTTGTGCGAAGTTCATCAAATGCAGATTCTTCCATTATTGATTGTAGAACATAGTACTTCACAGATTCGGTTATCTCACATTTGTCAAATTGATAATATGTATAAGCCATAGAATTATTATCGATTCTATTGTAGTTTGTTAGTTTTACTCGACAATCTCCTTGGNTTGATTTATATTTCCTTGTATCAATGCTTGACAATATAAATTGCTTAATAATTGTTCATAAAATGTAAGAAGTTGTGAATATTCTAATTTTTCTAAATAACATAATTTGTTGTCTAAGTACCACTCGGGTTCTAGAATTAAACTATTTGTTAAATCAGATACAATATAATCTAAATTACATTGTTTAATTTTTAGTTTATTGATGGCTTGAGACTTTACCATATTAAATATTTCCTCAGTTATCAAGTTCTTATAGTTCTTTATACAATTTAATACAATGTCTATGAGTAGAGGTAATTTCTCATTAAAACCAACAAATGCCAATTCAAATCTATGTATACATACTTGGATACTATAATTGAGTTCGGCCAACTTTGCTGGATATGTATCTTCAATTAATAAAAATACAATAGTATCTACAAACAAATCTAAATGTACATTATTTTCCAATGATTTTGAAGGCATTAGGGTAATAAAATTTAACATGATAAAGCCTTTGGGAAGTTTGAAATAACTGTTTTGTTCGTGCCATATTTCAATATGTTCGTTTTCCAATATTTTTTGTGGATATTTTATATATGTACTTTGGGGTAAAATAGAAAAATCTGTAGTTATATATGGATTATCACTTGGGATTTTAAAAAAGGGATGTGGTTTTACATTTGACCATTTATTTTCTAATTCTTCTTGAAAATTTTCATTTAAATAATTTGTCCCAAAAATTTCGTCTATTAAAAAAATTTTAGAGGGATCATAATTTTTTGAAAATATGAATAAAGCTACCCGATTTACTGACATCAATTTTAAATATATTTCAATTGGTTTTGATGAATATTCAAAAAATAATATTGGACCACATAAATAATCTTCCTTATCATAATTCATCATATTTAAGGAAAGTTCTATTACATGGTTACTGGCACTTTTAATTTCAGACAAATTAAATTTATTTTCAGCTAAAGTTTGAATTTGTTTAAAAATATTTTCACTTATCCCTTGTTGTCTGATTAAAGCCAAATAACTAAAAGTGAGTTCAATAACCATATCTACATTTTCTAAACCTAAATCAGTTAGTTCAATAGTTATAGAAAATAAACTATAAATACTATTACTAAAAAAATCATTATCTACTCCAGCATATAATTTCATTGCATAATATAACTTTCTCAAATAATTAATCAAACTCCCTTTACCTTCATGTCCTATTAACCAAGTGATGTATTTCAAAGGTTTATACTTGTACAGTTTAAGAACTGGTGGCAGATACCAAGAAATACTTATTTTGTTAATAGAACCTTCGGATACTATTTTGTAGATTTTATGAAACGCCTTTAAGTTGAATGGTACCTTACAAAATGTCATTTCTGGTTTTGGAAGATTGTCAGTAGGTATTTTACTAAATAAATCATCAATCAATTCTACTATTTCATGTGGTAATTGTTCACTCACCACTGTTAAAAACATACGGCTAGCTGAGTAGTGGTTTTTCCAAAAATCCAAGATTATTTTATCCAAATTTCCATGGCTCAGACTTTTTAAATTACCACAGATAAATTTTTTGATAGGACAATTATCAGAGGCACATAATGACAGTAATCTAATTTAAAAATAAAAAGTTATGAATTGTATTTCATTTGATTAAGCAGTATAATAAATTGTACAAACCTTTGCAAACGAATATCGTCATTTGTAATCACCATCTGAAATTCGGAATCCACTACTTCTTTTTCCTTATCAATTGATTCTTTGGCTAATTTAGGCGCTTGAAACATACTAGCAAATATATCAACTGCTTCCCGATAATATTCTATTGGTACTTCAAAGTAAAAAATTGTGCATTCATACCCGGTTCCAGCATTTAAATAACCAGATTTTCTTTTTATTAATTTATCCAAATGATTTTCTGCTGGGTATCGTTCACTGCCCTTTGGTATCACGTGTTCCAATAAATGTGCCAATCCTTGAGCCTCAATAGGATCGTTAAAACTACCTACACTAACACTTAAGGCCATCGCAAATATGTTACTTCTAGTTTTTAGTTCTTCTTGGTCTGAACAACTATTGGATGAACCATCAGTCATTTCATTATCATACTCATTCGAACAATTAGGAGATGTTTTAAGCGTGGTCTCGTGCGTTTCTGTTTTACGGTCAATTTTCGGCTGGCCGATCAACAAACATTTCATACCATTTTGTAACGTGTGTAATAAATAATCATTTCCATTGCTTATAGATTTGCGTACATCAGCCATGATAGGTGTGTGTACTCTTAGCTAAAACATAGAAATTTCGACTTGATAATATAGGTAGGGAGGTAATAATTTGTTAAAGAATATATTTTAATCAAATTGTATGAAATTCATCACAACTTTGCTAAAAATATAGGTATGTTAGGTAACTGTTAACAATTTTAAACGCTAGTAAAAATGTTATGTAATGTTATATAAGCGGCGATTATTCTACAAACCTAACTATAAACAATTTTAAAATTACCAATGATAATATGCGGAATTAGAGATAACAATGTTCCAAGGAGATTACACATATCGGGATTCAAACACGACTACAGCGGAGAACCCATCAGAGAACCTATGAAGTAGGTATTTTAAAAAATACGAAATATTATAATTTGTATTGTATTTAGAGGAAATTATAATCGTACGGCCGTATCTACTGTCTTAGTCCAACTCCCGGGTTACATGCAAAAACGTTGCTTATGTAGAACAATCATTGTATTTGCATGTTACCCGGTAGTTGGACTGAGAAAGTAGATGTAGGTATAACGTCCTTTTAAAAATTTTTAACTTCAAGTAAATGCCTATATTTAACATTACAATTTTAAATTAAAGATTTAAAACTTATTTTTTATTAAAATGGTACATATAGGAATATCATAGTATGCAAAGAATTCCAGAATTCTGTAGTATTATGTAGTCAATCTTTTTTAATTCATTATTATTATTATTTTGCAGGCTGCCTATTCAGTGGTTTAACAGCCAGTCAGGCCAGCTGCAACATAGACCACACCAAGATGCCGAACTAACATTTATTGTCCAAGTAAGAAAATATGGGCTATGGCTTTACATGGGTTTGATCCAGGATATAACCATAGATTTAATTTAATATATTATTAATTAAATTTCTACAATATTTGTCAGTGACCTATTCCACCATCCCCTAACTTTTCAGTATAGATACTTATTTTAAAATTCCAGACTTTCAAAAGTTTTATATTTTACAGCTTAAGAGCTGTTTTGTTAGTTTAGATTTTTAATTTATAACTATGAAATACTATTTATAGACTTACTTTTATGTATAATAAAAGAAATAAACATATTTTATTAAAAAAAAAAAACAAATAAACTTGAATAATGTACCAATACAATCAATAAAAAAAAAAAAGTTTGGACTCAACACTTGCATATAAATATGTAATTCAAAACAAACTGTTTTGATTTTCAACATTTGATACTTACAATTATTTTCAAAAAGTTTATTAGTTTTGACATACTGTGATTGTTATATTCATAGGGTCGTGGTGTTCTTGTCTATTGATTATGTAAATATGTGCTAATGTTTAAATTTACTCGGTGATGTTAAGATATATAGGAAAAGAATCAAAAAAGCTAATAAAATAATAAATTAAAAATAAAATTATTAAAATGGCCAATACTCTTAAATACATATATAAATAAAAAATTCATATATAAAACTAAAAAATGAATGAATGCGTCGCCTGGAGTATTATGATAAGTGTATTTTATGACCGGTTTCGAATTTAAAATATTCATCAAGTATATCACATTTAAAATGTAAAACGAGATTGAATATAAAAAAATTAAAGAAAGGAATACATAGAAAAAAAAATTATACAAGGTCGTTTTACATAGAAATAATTTATTTTAATAGTACAGATTGTTTAACATGTGTTATTATTAGACATAAATATATTAAAAATATAAATTATTTGGTTATTATTTGTTATCTGAAATATATTAATAATAAGGTATTATTTTTAAAGTCTGTTTGTAAATTTAAAATATCAAAATTATTTTTCTTTATTTCATGTTGTATATTTAATTCTTCTAAAATTGAATTAGTGTTAATGTTATTTTGGTTATTTAATATCTCTAACTCTGTATAAATATCAAAGCTTATATTATGGTTACTTTTTAAAATATGTTTAGCGAAATTTGAATTAGTGGCAGTCTTTTTAAATTTTATTTCAAAAATGTGTTCTTTATATCTTATTTTAAAATTTCTATTTGTCTTACCTATGTACAATTTATTACAGTTACAATGAAGTTCATATACCAACATCAGGGGCTACAGGTAGGACTACAGGTTGGGTTACAGGCCAGTCTGCGATTTGTATACATCAGGCCATTAGAGTGAGGATTAAAGACTAAAAACTAAATGAATAACAACAGTCTATTTCCTAAAATGTATATCTGTATACATCCATGTTACAAATAATTAAAAACTTTATTAATAAATATATTAATTGTCATGACCCTTAAAATGCAATTCATTATTCATTTTTAAGTTAACAAATTACTTAATAATGTACAAAATATTATACCACTTATATACATAATTAACATTCTTCATATTATAGAAATCTAACTTTATCAAAACCAATTTGTTTGTAATATTTTACTACAAAAATCATTTTAACATTTTTTTACTTAAATATATTTTATTTAAATATTGTAAGAGTATAAACAAACAAAATTATAAATTATAAACTACAGAGTGAGGAGAACAAAGTCAGATACACATAAATTGACAGTTTAGTGATGAATGAGACAGAAATTAAATTACCATGGGAGACTTACAACAAACATTTTCATATATTTTTATTTTTTTTTTTTTATTTTAAAGGAATCTGCAATCTATACAGTTTTGCATAAATAAGTTGGTTCGATAAAATACAGAAAACATAATTGACATTGAATCTAAGATTAGCGAGATTACCCTTTGGTAACACCCAGCTATTTTTCATTTTAAAATTTTTATCAAACCATGCTTCTTAAGGAGATTAAAAGTGACGAGTTTCTGCCTTTGTCTTACACTTGTGATACGTATGGATTTAGACGTGTTTTAATTCCAACGTACCAATTGATCTAGTGAAGAAGTGAATTTGTCATGAAGTCTACTTGAGATCGACTTTCCACTTTCTATTTCTTTCAATTTCTAAAAAAATTAAAATATTCCATTTTTTTAATTACTTTTTTTATTAGTATAGCTATTTATAACTTAAAGAGATAAATTTAAAAAGTGGAAAAGTCTATTTTAAGTAGACTTCAAGGTAAATTCAAATCTGTTTCCAGAACTCTTATCACTTCACTAGATCAATCGGTACGTTGGAATTAAAACGCGTTTAAATCCCTATGTATCACGTGTGTAAGACAAAGACAGAAACTCGTTACTTCCAATCCCCTGAAGTGCAATACAACATTTTGGAAATGATTATGACATCATAAATTTACAATTTGTTTTAATTCATTCAAAATAGTAAATTATTTCAGAATTAATATGCATATAAATAAATTGTTATTTATTTTCACTTTCAGTATTAGATGAAATAGATGGTATAAAGTTCTAAAAATAGGTACCTAAATAGTTGAATACTGAATGTTATATTAATCATTACAAAAAAGTGTTTGAGAAGTATTTAAATAGATTCTGAGTATTTATATTTGTTCTTAATATTATTTTAAATGTATTTCAACAACTTTTTGAATAGATGTATTTTTATCTGGATCTAAATACAATTTGAAATTTTTTTTTGACAAGACTGAATAACAGTGTACTTTTTCCAACAATTTGTTAGCCCGTGTCGATTTCCTATGATAAACTGAAGGCTACCGCTGTAAAATAGAATTCATAATATTTGTGTTGCAGTATAATTGACAGACAACTGGTTGTGTAAAGGTACGCGTCCATAGGTACGCATCGTACGCATCGGACGGATCGTATGAAACTGATCAATTTGTGGTAGTGCGTCCACTGTACACGTAGCGATCGGATTGCCGATGCGACGGTCGGATTTTTTTTAGTAACATTCGCATTTTCGTTGCGAGTGGACGATCGGAAACATTACAGTGTGTAATAGACCTAATAGTACCTAATAGACACCATGGAAAGTGATGGAGAACTCGTCACTATTGCTTTGTTATTAGATGAAGAGGACGAAGAAGAAAGAAATAACGAGGGTGTTTTAAATTGTACAACTCTTCGTACTCTTGTACAATTGTTATTAGCCTTGCGATGTCCATGATGTGCGTAATAATAATAATTGTAGTTAAAATAATAAATATATTATAATTAAAACACGTGTGTACTGAGTGTCGAAATACAACAGAATTCAAATGATCAGTGCGGCGACCAGTGACGACCGGTTGCGACACGCGTCCACTTATCGGCAATCCGTGTGACGTCATCCGCACCAGTCGGAAAAGTCGCCCCTTCGATCAATTTCGTCGGCATTACCGAGGGACCGGTGCGTGCGGTCCGTCCGTTGCCGGTCAGTGGACGCACACGTATAGCTTACTATACTAATAATTCTAAAATCCGTTTCACACGATCCGTTCGATGCGTACGATGCGTACCTATGGACGCGTACCTTAAGCAACAAGCCATAATCTTTTATTTTCGTTTATTTTCGGAATAGGACAACGCTCATACTTCGTTAAGATGGTGAATATCCGATATCATCAAAATAAAATCTCACAAGACAACAACATCATGTCAATTACATTTTAGTTGTATAAAAAGGGGAGTTCTATCCCAGGTGCAGGGGCAAGGATCAAGTGCTATACTTAATACATGGCCGCCCGAATTGTCCACCACTTCACTGACCATTTAGGTCACGCTCACTTTCGACATTGTTATCACAATTTATACCATGTTTCCCTTATCACGATTATATACTCGTCGTTATATCTTACGTTATACCTACTGTTATTACAAGATACACCTAATACATAAATCGGTTTACCTACTGCTATCACAAGATGATGTTTCCACGTATCTTGTACATAGCAAGTATTTCGTATACCTATACGAAATATATCTTCCCCGCCTGTGTTACATAACACACACACCATCTATTATTATAATTTAACAAAATAATATTACGCATTCGTTACCCATACGGAATATAACCGTCGTCACAACCCCCGTCGCCTCTTACCTGCATAACGCGAAATATAACCGTTGGCGACAACGGACCTCTCGACCCTCTTGTTGTTACGCGCACCGTTCCGAGAATCGTGTACGGCAAAAACGTATGTGTGTATCTTCAGCAGCGAACACAGTGTGGTTTCTTGCACGCAAGGACCCGTACGTGAAAACGTATTGTTCTCGGTTTTCCCGTTAGACCGCGCACAAACACTTTCCGCGAACGTGAACCGATTTTCGCAGGCATTTGGATCGATAACGATCCGATCGTCAGTAGCGATTTTACCGCGAACCGGTGCACCCGTCTTTTCCAGTTTTCTCATCGCTTTCGTTTTGTGTTCATTTTTTTTTTTTTTTGAATTCTTCTCGTGGAAAAGTTTTCATATTGTCATACGTATGTCCATGACTCGCCACGCTAAATCGCACACGACGGTGTTAAATTTCAATTGCGCCCCGTGTCCGAAAATGTTTTCGCGTGACCTTGCCGAACACGTTGAAATTGTTCATCACGACGGAAGAGCCGTCGCTCGGCCGGCTGTTGTCCCGCAAGCCGGTCCTTTGAATATTGTCACTCAGGCCGACCCATCGAATGCCGGACCGTCCAACAAATATGCGTACGGGGGAGCGACCTCGAAGACGACGACGAGTTGCTTGCGGCACTTGACATGGGTTTCGAAATGGATAAAGGTAAGTGGAGGTAAGACGGATGAGAAGTAAGGACGAAACGCAACTATTGTACAAAATCATAAACCGACGTCGTACGGGATTTCCGTAAAGGCTTTATTCGGATATTTAACAAAGTTTAATAACAGAGGTATAAGAAGGTACCACCAAAAATTAATCAAATAAAAACAAACAATAATCACATAATTGTACGTTCGACTGTAGTAGAGCAAAGGTATAAAAAAAAAAAAAAAAAAAAAAAAAAAAAAAAAAAAAAAAAACATAATATGCGTTCTCACGATTTCAATCTTCGTTTAACGTTCGGCCAAATTGAACTTTGGTATCAAAGGTATTAAAAAAAAAACGTATCGGAGTAAATCAACTAAACAAACAATAATTTAAAGAAAAATAACGCGTAGACGTTATTAGCTGCAAGTATAGGACGGCAGGACAATGGGCTTCTTTTTTCGCACGGTGTTTGTCCGTGGCTTATCGGTCATTTCCTGAAAATATAAATGGGCACATCAAATATTAGGTACGTTCGGTTGTAATAATATCGTTTGTGAGACGACAATTTTTATAGGTTTCACTGTATGTCATTTATTTATTGATGAAATTATTTTATTTTTGACATTTTATCACTTATTGTTAGCTGCCCATACCTACGGTACGTTCGGTATTAAAAATATCGTGAAAATTCACCAGAACCAACGCCTGCAGTCTCCTGAGATGCATATTTTGCTGTAGCAAATGTACAAGCAAGAGATTATCACGACAATCATTTCGCCGTACCAAAATCTCAGTTTTCTTCTACTATTCACACGTGTTACCTATCATCGTATTTTAAGAACATAACTCGGTGGTAGTGATCGTTTTAGGTAATTCTTATCGGAGTTTTGTAAATACCGCGAGTTTCTGATACTTTGCGACACTTATTGACCATTCCGTTGCCTACTATATTATTATTTGCTATATTGTTCAATCTGTGAATCGAATATCAATCCGATTAATTATTCTGAGAAATCGTATATATGCATAAAATAATACATTAACGGTAATTTTTTTTTTTTTTTTTTGAACACCTCGATCAGATGTGAATACTCCGGCGGTAAATCTTGGTTTAATTGTTTGAACGCGGATCGGGCGAAGTTTAAATATTTTATATCATAATTTTCTAAATGGTTTAAAACCATTCTAGCACTCGGCTTCCAATCGTCCGGTAAATTGCTAAAAAAAACATATATTATGCAATCTAACTTGTGTAAGTGTAATTATTTATACTAAAACCTTAGAAAACCACTTACAGTCTCATCCCTAGGACTATAAACCCTCCATAAAGTTTCCCAACAATCTCCAATTCCGAATCGCCAATACGATAATACCACCAAACCAACTGATCATGCAAGTGACAATAAATACGCCTATACATTTGCTGCGCAATATTAAAATAATTGAATTTTTTAAAATTACATAACTACGATTACATTGTAACATATGCATTTTTTTTTTTTTATGATAAATTATTAAATATTGGTAATAAATAAATAGTGAAAATAAAAATAATCGTAACAAGATGAAAAAAAATAAATACATACAACGAATACCGATAGTATTATTACCTCTCCCATATTCAAATCAAATAAAATAAATTGAAAATATTTTAGAGCTTTTTCGATGGGTTGGGCCCCTCCAATTGTCGAATTGACCACTCGAATTATGCTCTCCATGCAGGATTCGTCTACATCAAATCAACAATAATTTATTAGGAGGTTGGTGGGTATTTGTCATAGTTTTCATACAGAAGTCTATCCTAGAATGCATATTTACCGATACTCTGGAAGGCATTGAAGTCGCTTGACTGCGAAGACGAAACGTAGAGGGGGGGAACGACGGCGAAACGAGGCCGGCCGTCAAAGAACTCGAAGCTTGATTACCGGAAGAATCCGCTGAACTCGGGTTCCTCGACATCCGGATCCTCATTTTTGCCCGTGGTGCACTCGTCCCTTATTACCACTTGACAAACGTTTCTGTAATTAAATTTAAAACTCATAAATCTAATATGCATAACAATAATTGCTAACACATTCAAAATATTATCATATACATAATTAGTAAGGACGCAAATCGAACAGGTATTTTCGGAGTAAACCCCGGACAATAGAGATGGAATTTTCCGTTTTGATACATGTATAAGTTTTCATTATTATATTATAAATTAAATTTGATTTTTTCTCCGGTGTAACGCAGAAGGATATTATTAGACACAAAAGAAAAACCGCAATTTCCGTATTTTAAGGAATAAAACGCGTGTGCGAGGCGCCGGTCGTCGGTGGTCGAATTTCTAAAAATCCTTTGTGGTTTCAATAACATACGTATTAGCATACGGTTGCCTGTGTGTTGTCGTTGCGCGAAATATAATAAACTCCCGTGTTGAATTTCGGGTTTCTAGACCCCGCGGCGGTTCGGGTCGAGCGATGACGAATCGGTCGTTAGATACCAACTAAAAATGTATACGTCATATGCCCAGATAGTTAACATAGAAAAAAAAAAAAAAATAAAAACATCCGTACAATATCGGCTGTATCTGCATTTAGCCGTAACGTTAGGATAACGCGAATTTACGCGCGCCGTTCGTCGGCGAACAAAACCGGGTAGGTGTGTGTGTGTGTGTGTGTGCCTACGCCGGGCAATAGCCGAGCAATTTATTTTAATAAAAATCCGCATACAAATATCCAGCTCGGTCGTGGACACGGGAAACGGTATTGTTCACGTGTATTTCTCATAGGAAAACGGCCGGCGAGCGACGGCAAAGGCGGACCACGGTCGCCGGCTTTATTCGCCGTACGCGAGGCGCGGTACTCCGTTGGCACAGACCCGCCCGACGTTTGACACCGATTACTCATTTAACAAAAACGGACAGAAAACAACGTAAAACGGTTTTTTTTCGGACGTACGCGCGTGCCTTATTGGAACGATTGCGCTCCGCACTCCGACGGCAATGTTCGTGTTTGCTTCGCTTAGCCGCAACAGTACCGGTAACATCAAGATGGCCGCGACAAACGTGCTCTCTATTAGCGGAACCGCGGTGAACGTCGTGTTGATCGCAGTATTGGAAGACGCGCGGAGACGGTGACGCGCACGGATGTGCGGGAGAATCAAAAAGCTGAAGAAAAAAAAAAAACCAACCAAAAACAAAAACTGTACTATATTAGGTGTGTTGAACTTTAAATTTGATATTCTCAATTAATATTATTCTTAACTATTCGTTCGGATCGCACGCCAAGGTCGTTTACTCGGTTGCCGGGCCCTCGTTAACTTTTCCGGCGACCGTATCCGCGAAGCAACAGTTGATTTGCTTGTGCGTTCAACTAGCCAACGGTATTTCCGATGGAATCATTTCAAACCGGCAATACCATCCGTGCCGTTTTCGTAAGAACGGTCGTCGCTACGGCGACCGGCGTAATAAATATTTCATACTACCGTTTTGACGAACGTCCAGCGTTCCGCGGACCTGAACTCAAAACCCGGACACTTTTGATGTTAAGTTTTAGGTGTCTATCAATCATTCGTATTATAACAGCGTGTTTATAGTATTTATAAATACGTCCGTGTGTTTATAAATAGACGAGAGCATAAATGCGAAATGCCACAGTTCCGATTTTAACATAATCGTTTTTCGTTATTATAAAAAAAAATAAGAAAAATAACTTCCGT